ATCAACACGGAGCGGAGCGGCAACTTCGCCCCGCTCTTCCGGCCGTATCGCGCTGATCGTTCAGCTCGCCTCCTTCCCGCTTCTTATTTTCGCTTTATTTTTCGTAGAACAATAACGTCTCCGTAAAGCGCAGAGTGGGCCGGGTCGGGCTACCCCGCCAGCAGTCCTAAGCTGAGGTAGAGCGCGGCACACCGGCAGCCAGCCGAGCCCCGGCTGCGGGAGGGAGGGAGGGAGGAAGGAAGGAAGGAAAGGAGGGAGGGGCGGCCCCGCCGCGGCGCCGCAGGCGGGCATGATTTGGAGGCGGGCGCCGCGCTGCTGGTGGCGGCGGGCGGCCCCGGGCCCCGCCTGCTCGGCGGCGGGCGGCGGGCGGCCCATCCTGGACATGTCGTATTCCCGGCACTTCCTGGACTTCCAGGGCTCGTCCATCCCCAGCGCCATGAAGAAGCTGGTAGTGACAGCGCTCAGCCCCGACTTCCGCCAGGCGGTCACCCTGCGGCGGGACGTGCCCGTGCCACTGCCCGGCGACGGGGATCTCCTCGTCCGGAACAGGTGAGCCTCCGCCCGCCCAGCCTCTCGCTGCCTGCGCCCTCCCACGCGGCCGAGGCGCGCCCGCCGCCATCTGGCGACGGCTCGTTTAACTTTATCGCCGCCGTTCTACCGAGCGGCCGGAGCCGCGGCCCGCTCGGCCCATCCACGTGCGCGCGGGTGACGCTCCCCCTCCCTCCTCCTCCGGCGGGGCGGGGTGCCGCTGACGGCGGCTCCCGGGACGGCGGCGGGGGCGGTTGGAACGGGCGCACCGCCAGCCCCGCGCTCTGCCCACCCGCCCGAGCGCTGCTCGACAGCGGAGGTGCGGGGTGGCGTTCCGGTGCGGGGAGCCGCTGGGCGGCCGAGTGCTGTATGGGGAGCAGCGCGCCCGGGTGGTGCCGGGCGGGCGGAGTGCAGTGCGGCTCGGGCGTGTTGGTGCGCATCTCATCGATCTGCAAACAGCAGCAAAAGTTCGGCGAGGGTGCGTGTGTGTGTTCGTGTGTCCGTGTGAACGCACTGATAAAGCAGTATGGGAGGGATAAGGGCATTCCTACAGGAGCTGCCGTAGAGGCACTTTAGTCAGGCGTTGGCGTCTCCTCTGGGACCCAAATTTCTTCCAAACCTCCACGCCTGAGGCTTGCTGCATCCACCGCTGCCAGGCAGCAGTGGCTGGCGTTGGGCTCCTGCTGTGGGCTCGGGGCAGGCAGTGGGGCTGGGCCATGTCACTGCTTCCCAGCCCTCCCCGTCCCACGAGTGTTTCATATCTATAACTCTTTTGCACGCCTCGGAGTAACTCCTCTCTCCTCTCCCCTCCTCCCGCTGCTGGGGGGGCTCCCTGGGTGCACATCTCATGGTAACAGGGCTGAGACATGGGGCAAAGCAGGAGCTGCTCCAAGAATTGGGTTCTGACACATCAGTGTATTATGCACACGCACACATGGGTAGGGATGGAGGGGAGGGAGAGGTGAGCGAGAAGCCCAATACTGAGAGCCCGTACGTATTGTATTCTTTGGGATTCTGTGGCATTCCCTTTGTATTCATCATCATTTTCTGGGGACTCTCACAGAAGACGGAGGATTGTGTTATTGAGAAGTGTGCTGTAAAGGCAAGCTGCAGCAGGAAGAGAGTTTTCTTTCCCCTTATCACTTGTGGAGGCTTTTTTCCATCCCAGCAGGATGAATCTCTGCCTTTATGTAAGCTCCAAAGCCAGTGGTACATTCTCTAATAGGTAGGACCATAAAATTAAAAACAAAACAATAAAGGGCTTGAGTTCCAAGAGTGCATTTGTGAATTTGTTCATTTTAGTCCCAGTCACGCCCATGAATAGTATTAATTGCTTTGAGCTTTCTATGCAAAACAGTTCTCGTTCACCACAGTAAAATGTGGCTTGGGACTTATGGGAATGAGAAACTAAAATATGCCGAGTCCCTATGTGGATAGACACTTGAAAGTGAGGTGCTCTTAAGTGGAACTTTTTCCCTCTTCTCCTTTGGAGAAAAAACTAAGCCAGCAGTTTTGGGTGGTGGTTTTTTTTTTTTTTTTTTTTTTTTTTTTTGTTTTGTTTTGTTTTCTAAAAGAAGAAGAATCCATCTTTTCTAGTTTTGAAGCATTTCTTTCTAATGTAAACTGATTTAAAGCAATACATTTATTTCTATTTTGTTCAGGAGAATAAAAATTCCCTATGGAAGCCACCTCCATTCATGTTTTCCAGGGTGCAGCGAAGGGCAAGGTTCCCTTCGCTGCCAGATAGGGGCCCAGAGGGTGTGAGGACGTGGTGCTGCCTACAGTTACGTGGTCTTTTCAAGATTCACTTGGGGAAGTGGCACTTTTCAGTTCCAAAATAGCTTTAGTGTCTCACTGTTGGGATGGCAGATGAGAAAAGTTTATGGAAGAAAAGGAGCAAGAGGGGCTGAGAAAGTTTTTGAACCAGTGGATCACTGTGGGGAAAGGGGAGGACTGCCGCTGCCGAGTGGTTGGTCTAAATAATGTTTTCCTTGCGTGGCACTGCCCTTGATGGCTTTGTTTTGTCTGCAGTGCGTGCCGTGCCGTGGGGCTGCTTTAGGTGTCTTGTGCTTTGTTGTGATATAGAAGCAGCGTTCCCCATCACAGTGCACTGTGTCTTCAAACTAAAGAGAGGGTTCAGCACTGCTGAGCAGAAATAAGATGTGTAACTCAATGTGCAGAATTATGTTGGGAAAAGCCCATCTCCAGCTTTTTTTCTTTTTTCTTTTTTTTTTTTTTTTTTTTTTATTTCTGCCTCCTCAGGTTTACAGCTTGCAATGCTGAAGTAATTTAGAAATTCCTAAATTAAAAACTGTTTTCAGTGAGAGATTAAAACGGGACAATGTGGACGATTCGAAGGGAGTCTTCCTGCCCAGAGTGCTCGCAGTAATTAATGGTAACTTCTGTGCTCCGCTTTTTAGAAGTTAGCAAACCGATCTTCAACTTGTACGCTCTGCTCGTTCCTACTTTTAAATGCAAAATAAGAAACTGCGGGCGCATCCCGCCGCCTCCTCCGTGCCGGCCGCGGTGACGAAGCAAATGAGGCAACGCGCTTTAATCCAGCCGCCGCGCGCGGGAAGCGGAGCGCCGGAGCGACCGGCACCGCGCTGCTCCGCGCTTCATCCTACAAAGGGGAGTTGAGCAAAGCGGGGGGCGGGCCGCGCCGAGGGCAGCGCGGGGACGGCTCCGCGGGGAGCCCGGCGGGCGGGCAGCCTCTCCTCCCGCTCCGGAGCCGCGCGGGGAGGTTTCGGCCTCCGCCGGCGGTTTACCTGCCCCGGAGCGGCGAGTGCTGAGCGCGGAGCAGGAGCAGCCGGCGGCACCCAGCCTCGCGGGGCTCCCGCCGTGCCACGGAGGCGGAGGTCCCCGTGCTATGGGGAGCGAGGGGAAGCAGAGCACGCGGCGCGCTCCGCCGCCCGCAGCGCGCGCGTTTCATTGGAGCCCGTGGCGAACAGCGGCAGTGGGAAGCGCGGGGCTTCCGCACTGCTGCAGCCTCTGCGCCGTACCGAGCGCATCTCTCAGGCTGTCACGTCCACGTGTAGCAGCGGCCCAGGCCCTTCTCATTGCGCGCGTTTCTTTTTGACGTTTTCTGCTCAGTAGAATCCTCCCTACTCGCTCTCCCTCTGCCTGTACGAAGACGCTTTGCTTTTTGTAAAGAGCAGCGTTGCTGAAACACCCTCTGCGGTTAAGCTAGATCGTATCTTTCAGGCGGCATCCCCAAGTGCTTAGCAGAGTTGTGAGGCTGTCCGTCCTTTGTAAAAAATACAAAGGTCGGCACCATTTTCACCTGTTAGGGGTCAGCGGCACTCGCCGGCCTCACAGTTGCAGTCCTTCTGCGCAAGGTGGTTTCGCTGCGTGGCACGTCATTTATATCAGGAGAAATACGTCGTTGACATCAGCTGCATCAAAAGGCAAATTTGCTGTAGTGACTCCATCAATTAAAAAGTACTTGCCCACAGTGATGTGACCTTGCAAACGACATCGATAGTTAATATGATCGTTAGTCATTAACAGTATTATTATATTAAAAAATGTAAATTTGTTGCCAGAATCAACGTATTTACCGCTTTGCAGATTTTATTCTTCAGTGTTTTCACATCCTGTATAAAGTGACCAATTAAGTTTTTACCCATTCATTTTGTACAGAGTCGTTTTTGTTTCGGCCAAACGAGATTGAGGAAAATGTAAGAGTTTTCTTCTTTCCTTCAGCAGATTTGTCTTTAATCCTACAGTAACAGACTATAAAGTACATAAGTCCAACAGAAGTAGTCTCTGTAACGTGTTCATTATTCAGATATACCAATAGTCGAAAAAAGTCCCAAACGCATTCCACAAATTAAAATTGAAGGTTTCTCATACGACTTGATAAGGAATAAATCATGTTAATACATTTCTGTTTTCTTCTAGATTTGTCGGCATTAATGCATCTGACATAAACTACTCAGCTGGTCGATATGACACGTCAGTTAAGCCCCCATTTGATGTAGGTTTTGAAGGTGTTGGTGACGTGGTAGCATTAGGACTCAGTGCCAGTGCCCATTACTCAGTGGGCCAAGCCGTGGCCTACGTTAAGGCGGGCTCCTTTGCCGAATACACAGTTGTGCCTGCCAAAGAAGCAGTTCCTCTGCCCTCTGTGAAACCCGAGTTTCTGACTTTGATGGTAAGTGGCGCTACCGCATACATCAGCCTGGAGAATTTGGGAGGGCTGTCTGAAGGCAAGAAGGTCTTGGTGACAGCAGCGGCTGGAGGGACGGGCCAGTTTGCTGTGCAGCTCGCAAAGAAGGCCAAGTGCCATGTCATTGGAACCTGCTCCAGTGATGAAAAGAGTGGCTTTCTGAAATCCATTGGCTGCGACCGTGTCATCAACTATAAAACCGAAAACGTTGAATCTGTTCTGAGGAAGGACTACCCAGAAGGTGTAGATGTAGTGTACGAGTCTGTTGGTGGGAAGATGTTTGACTTGGCCGTTAACTCCTTGGCTACCAAGGGGCGCCTGATAGTTATTGGGTTTATCACTGGCTACCAAAGTCCTACTGGCATCCAGCCTATTAAAGCAGAGTTCTTGCCAGCAAAACTGTTGAAGAAGTCTGCCAGCGTCCAGGGTTTCTTCTTGAACCATTACTTTTCCGAGTACAAAATGGCTCTGCAGCACTTGCTTAAGATGTATGAAAAAGGAGAACTGGTTTGTGAGGTGGACCTTGGAGACATGTCTCCAGAGGGCAAGTTCATTGGCTTGGAGTCTGTATTTCGTGCTGTAGATTACATGTACATGGGAAAAAACATTGGAAAAATTGTAGTTGAATTACCTCACTCTGTCAACAGTAAGCTGTAAAAACAGAACAATGATATAAATCAGAAGAGAGAAAATGGGCACTTTATGCTTCAGAATTACTAGAAACAAATTCTTTTTCTTTTTAACTTAGTAATGGATATTAAATTAAAAAGCAGCATTAAGGTGTTAATTAAAAAAAAGTTGATTTTTTTTTCTCTTTCTTTTCTTGGAAGTGTTTTAACCCATGGCTGAAGTATGGACTTAATGGGCCTGTGTTTCATGCTGTTGCTTATGCTAGCATGAGACAGGAACATTGTTCTTGACAGAATAAGTCTTGATGCAGAGGCAGATTTAGTCTGTAGAGTAGTTTGATAAGACTTTATATATATATAGTTCAACTCAGAATTTTTTTTTTCTTTCAGCAATTTTGACTCCCTGATTTAAAAATAAAATTGATAGAACAAGGCTAAATAAAAGGAGTTGCATTTTAGGGAAAAAAAAACCAACAACTATATTCTTGATTTTTTTTTTTTTTTCCACTAAACGCAATAATTATAATTTTGCATCATGGATCACAGTAATGTTCCTTGCCTGTTTACTCAGGGAAATTTTAAATTATTACATGACAGTAATAGTGAGAAAACTAAGTTGACTTTTTTTTTTAATTGCCATTCATAACCCTAAACAAGTGTGGGGTTTTTTTTTTCTAAATCTTTACAAACTTTGACATTATTTTGTTGCCTTTTTGTCTGATACTGTTAATGCTTACTGCCCTGTATCTCCTTTAATCAGTATTACAGATTATTGGAGGGGGATTTTGAGCCATGTTCATATATTATCAGACCCTGTATATTTTTTTAAGATTTAATAAAATTAAAAAAAGCTGTTTAAGTGTTCGTGCATTTCTTTATATCGATACGGTTCTTGGTGAGTAGCTCCTTTGCAGATGATTTCTATATTGCAGAGTTCTTTGATGATTCTTGCTGTGACTTCCCATAATCAGGCTGCTACTTCTGTTACTGAATATTGCTTCTGCAGAAGCCCTTGTAGAGACAAGTAGACCATTTTAAATCTGCAGTCACATTACCTGCCACAAAGAGCATTGCTCAGGAATAGATGATCTAGTGGGTGCAGATAAAAGGTTTGGTAAAGTTTTGAAAATTCTTCATCACATAATAGAAATCATTAATGATACGTACAGGGGGAATTCCATCTAGAAGTCTAATATTTTCCAGAACAAAAAAATACTTTAAACTATGCTTGCTCTAGATTTTTTTTCCCCCCACACGGGAAATGTTTAAGATCTTAAATGTCATTTCAGCAACATCTTTTGAAACAATATATACATTTATGTACAGTTGGAGAGATGGAAATTTTGTAAGATCATACACATCGTAATAAGCTTAATTATAGACTGATAGTGTTTAGGGGTTGGAGGAAAAAAGCCAGAGTAAATTTAATTCATGACTGATTTTACATGACAAATTTTTCAAGCAGTGCTGGAAAAACTTGCATTTTACTCAGGCAGTAGAGAAAATTATTTTAAAATTTGATTTACTGCATTCTTATCTCTGCATTTTTGTGCATATGCCATTAGCATCCTAAAGAACAGTGTTCAGCAAAGCAGTGTTCCTTTTTCATGTCTGAATAGGTCCTCTTGGAGGATTTTTGGGAAGGTTGAAATGCTTTGAGTATTTGGTTTTTTTGTTTTGTTTTTTTTTTTAACCAAAGGGTTGTTGTTGTGACTAAGATCTCCTGTTAGAAATCATTTTCCTCTTTATAGTATAACAAATGTAGTGGCGTTTAGGTATTTTGCATAACAAAAGGATATTTTTGGCCTTCCAACTGAGTACTAGAAAGATGTGAACACTCATACGTAAAAGGAGTACTTTGAGCATACAAAGTTCTGTTTTATTCCCAAGCTCGTAATTTCTTCTTGCGTTCAAAGATGCAGCACCCTTGGTCAATAAATACAGATTAAAAAACAAAACAAAACAAAACAAAACAAAAAAACAGTAAAGCAAAGCAAAACTACAGATATTATTTAGATCTGTGTTACGCAATGAAGAGTTACATGGGTAACAAATGCCAAATGCCAACATCCACCCAACTATCCTGATGCTCAAAGGCTGTGAGCATCGTTACTCCAATAGCTTTAGCTGTTTGCAGGGCTGTAGCTGTTCTTATAAAAGTTGTATTTGGACATAGAGCATTCTACTTTATTTTTAATATGCTTCTTCATATGTAACTGAGCAACACAGCTGCCCTGGGCTCCTTCACTAAACAAAATAAGGGAACCTTTGGAAGATCCACATATATGCATGTATTCAAACATGACATTTTGTTGCCTTTAATTCTGGCTTCAGGCTTATTATTCAGCGCTTTAATACTGATTACAGGGTAATTAAAAAGTAGAAATTTGTTACATGCAGAACCTGTATGTCTGGGGTACTGATTTTGTAACCTTTCTGGGTGTTTGGGTTGGGCTATGGCCACTGGGGGGGCTTGTCCTTTTCATCAAAAGCCTAAGTAAAGCTAAAAAGCAACACAAGTTAAACATGAGATGGCTCTTCCTTGAATGAGTCCAGAATGAAGAGTGAATTTTTGTTAAACTTACAGATTGCTGGAAGAAAGCATTATCAGTGGGAAGAGGGTGGAATTGTTTCTGAAACACATAGATAAGGCTTTTCTACTGAGATGCATAATAATTTTAGGTATGTAGGGGGTTTTGGAAAGCCAACTTTTCCTCCTTATTTGAAAGTATATTCTACAAAGAGTTACGGGAGCAGGGCTGACTTTGAATAAGTAAGCTATGATGGATTTAAATAATGTTTAAATATTAGATGGATAGAAAAATGTGTATGGCATGCACACACTGAGAGGTTTAAATGATGATAGGACATTGAACATACAAGGAAAAGAAATACTGTAGAGTCACAGCAAGGGATTAATAACAATACACTTAATATGCTTGCAAAAAAAGGTGTATTAAAAGCTGTGTGCACAGTGGGTACTTAAATGATTAAAAATAATAATACATTTGCCTAGGAAGTACTAAGTATACTATATGTAGAGAGCAGGGATTTAAATAATAATACTATTAATAATAGCAGCTCATTGAGATGTGGTTGCTAGCACTACATCCTAATTTTACCTTTCTAAATGAATTTGCTACAGAGGAATTTGGCATTGTTTGCTGAGGCTAAGAACAGAATTTCCCTTTCCCTACACACATATGCTTCCATGGAAAAACAACAAAGAAATAGATGAAGAGCTGGCTTTTTTCCTGAGCCTGTCACATGTGTGCATACGCACGCGCACACGGACACACACGTACTCACTCACTCTCTCCTGGCCTGCAATCCTCAGCACATTTTGCAGATATGCTTCCCACTTAATTGCTATGCTGGAATCTCCTAATACCTTTTTGAATTAGTTAGATTTCTACCCTGCAATAGTTTGTTACATATTTGTTCACGTGCAGATGTACAAACGTATTAAATGCATATGTTTCATAAGCAGACATCATTTTCTCCCATGTCAGATAAAGAGAAATAATTAACAGTCTCAAGGAAAAGTTTGCTGTAGTGTTTGCAGATAGTACATGTATTCCTACTTCCATTTGAGTAAAGAAATTCCACTGCTGAATAGCTGTTAGTATCTATTTTACAAGATTTACTCATTTTCAGGTACCTAATGTAGCTGCTAGCATGCATGCACAACAATACAATTTATATGGTAAATGGAAGCAAATAATGGCTTCACTGAATGTTATGGCTGCACTGAAGGGAAATGTCACGGTAAATAGCTGCCAAATTATGGATCATGCCGAAGTGTCACAACTGCACTAAAGACAAATAGCACTAGAGGCTATTGCCACTATGACGCTTTTGAGTTATGAAGAAGAGGAGCAGCCTGATGTGAGCCTCTTTGTGTCCTCATTATAGCAAAGGGTTACTGGTGCGGCGTTCAGGGAAACCTAGTTCTACGTGGTGGCTAGTTATTAATCTGTTCTTTTCCAGCCTAACAGCTGTAGCAAAGGAGAGAGTCTTTCCTTGCTTTAGAAATACATATACACACACAAACAAAGAAAAACCTGCAGGTTTTATGAATGTAAATGCATACGGGAAATGACTGGTAATGGAAAAATGTTGTAATAAAATAATCTAATCAAAGAATATTATTAAATTTAACATCGTATGTGTCTGAAAGCTTTAGTTGCTTCTTATGCAGATAGATGTGTGAAATATAAGCAATAATGCACTTTCTCTCTTTGTAAAGACTTGAGTAGTAAGGACATTACCAACTAAATTGCTTCTTCTAAACTGAAGTGTGTCCCGGTTTCTTTCATTTTAATGGGAGGGTAATAAAGATGAAAGACTAACATTTTAACTGATGGATCCCTTAAGCTACAGAATCAAAATTTATTATGTTTTGAGGGAATATGCTAAATCCTGAAGTGTGGAGAGAAGCAGGGAAACCCCAGGTAAAATAAAAAGCAAAGTAACCATTTTTTTTTTTTTTTTTTTTTTTTTTAAATGATACACTTTCCTGAACGGAAAACCATTTGGTGCTCTTACTTAAGCTGAGAAAACAATATTATTCTATCTTTGGGGGAAAAAAAAAAAAAAAAAAAAAAAAAAAAAAAAGAAGGAATGTTTTTTGGGGAAAAAAAAGGCATTTGAAAATGGAGGCCCATAGCTCAGCAAGTGGCCTCATCTTTTCTAGGCTCACTTTTCAAAGCCTGCCTGCGGTGTTCAGGGGAGTGAGTTTGATGCTCTGCACACTATTGTACATGCCACAAACGCACCATCCATAATACAGCACAATTGTCAGTCGCTGTTTTACAGAGGGGCCAGGGCTGAACAATCATGGTGGATAAATTACTTTTCTATTCTACAGCAAGTGGCCTTCCTACCATGTGAAGCTTAAGGTCATTGGCAGGGCAGTGAGGGGGAAGCTTATATATTAGTTAACTCTAATGCACTAATAGAGTTCAGATAGAAGAAGTATACCAATTAATTACAGTTAGGTTTGCTCTTGGAGATGGGGGAGATGACTTGAAGAGCTACTGTGTTGAGATACGTTTTTGTATATGTATATATGCACATATTTTTTATGTATACATATGTACATAACTGAATGTATTTTGCTTTTTTTGCTACTACCTCCAAATAAATAGCTGTGCCTACATTGCTACTTTTCTTTTTTCCTCTAGTACATTCATTAAAGTCTTTAATATTCATCATTGCAGGAGTCAGGATTTCAGGAACCAGAAAATATTCTTTAAAAGATTTTTGAACCATAACAGCACATTCTACTTACAATTTTTACAGTGTAGTCTATAGAGAGAAAAAAAAAAAAACAAACCTGTCAAAAATTAGGTAGAACATCCTTGAATGGCAATTAGCATGCCCAGAATTTATTTTATGTACAACGCAGTGGCAAGTAGCTGCTTCTTATTAAATGAAAATCCTGTATTATGTACTTCAGGAACATTCCAGCTAATGAGTATGTAATGTCCTTAGTATTACACAGAACTTCTTTTTGTGTTCACAACCACAAGATGCTGGAAACTTGACAAATGATATCATTTAAGACAGATGCCTGCCTTAGGGACCTGTTTTTTGGCTTCCTGTTTCTGGTTTTTATTTCAATAACATTTGTAATTGCCACAGGATCTGTACCTGTGTAGTATTTTAACCCCTTCATACATACAGCATTGCTTTAACTCCTCGGGTAGGCACTAGGAAATTGTATTTTTTTTTTCCCCCTCCCCAGCTGGGCTGTTATTCCTACCTTCTTCAAGCACAGAGATGCACATAAATAAAAGCTGGGCTTTATTAGACCAGATGAAACTGTAACATTAGAGAAAGTAAACGCTTGCTGCA